CCCCCCCCCCCCCCCCCCCCCACTTTAGTACTGCACTGAAATGAGGATAGATGCTTTTAATTTAGCACACACCATTATTCAATTTCACTTACCATTTGACATGAGTGAGGTGTTCCGGTCTGTAATCTGAACAATTAATTTTTTAAGTAATTGCCTGTCAGCTGTGATGGGTGAGCAAAACTAGACAAATATGGGTAGCACTAATGCTGTCTTCCCAGGAGCATTGTTTGCAAGGGCAACTGTGGTAGAATCTTTTGGAGAAGACGTGGCTCCTCTTTCTCTTTTGACTGTAATCGAAGGGGTGAAGTAAGCACCTCAAATCTAGGCTGCTTTGCCAAAGAACCTTAAAGCAATCAGCAAGGTTGGTGAATAGTTTTCTTTGAGATTATAATTTTTTTTTAAAATTATTTATGAAGGTGGGGGATGAAGTTCTGTGATGGGTTTCTATTGCTTTTTTGGGGGGCTTGTGGACATTTTGTTCCTGGGTTTTTTTTTTTGTTTGTTTTTTTTGAGACTGAAACCAACCTGGTGTTTGATACTGAAGTGTTGAAAGACCAGTGTGTTTAACTTTGAAAAGAATCCCAAGTACCTTGGGGATGTTGTAAATCCAGATTATTAGGAGAGCAAAATGCTACTGTAATGGATCCCCTTTGAGATATTTCAGTCATCAACTTGTTTTCCTGTTACTGTAGTGTGCTGTGCAGCCTGATGTGTGGAAATTTGTACCAGAGCACAAGAGAGATTTCTACCCTTTTTAAATGCATGTGACTTTAGGGCTCTGTGAAGGGAAGCATCTGAGTGGAAGGGTTTGTGATTCCCTGGGCTGGGAAGTGTAGATGTGAGGGTTGGTTAGAGGTTGTTATATACCTGTGCACTCTACTGGTCTGTATCACACCAAGTTGATTTTCAGGACTTTTCCCATTGGGAAAGTACTAAATGAATTCTGGGTCTGGCTTTAATTGCTGCACCTATCACCCTTCCCAGGCAAAGGACCTGAAACTCTTTATGCTGGGCAGAAACTCAATGACAACGAGTGGCACACTGTCCGGGTGGTGCGGCGAGGAAAGAGCCTCAAGCTGATCGTGGATGATGATGTTGCTGAGGGTAAGTGTGGTGTGTCAGTGCTTTTTGATCACTGTATCTCTGTTCATAGTCTTTGCCATTATGCTCCTTCTCCCTGTTCTGTGTATCTCTCCCCCCACCCCTTCCTGTTACCAGTCATGTATTATTTAGTGTTACAATGTTGAAAATGAATATTCAAGTCTGAGAAACTTCTTAGCCAGCACCAGAAATTTCTGTGACAGCTGTAATGATCTGAGATACAGGTTTAGGGGACAGGTAAGCTTGCACTTATCTCAGACTGTAGAGGGCTCAGCAGAAGTTTCTCTTGGTCCACAGGCTCTTTCTGAGGTAGGCTGAACACACTCCATTCCTGAGTTGCACATGTGATGGTTTCCAATGGTTTCCAAGGCCAAGGCTCTCTGGACTCTTCCTCTGCACAAACTTTTCCTTGATGATAAACCTGCATGAAGTACATGTGTTACAGTGCACAGATTTATGTCTCTGCTGCTCTTTTTTTTTTTTTTTTTTTTTTTTTAATTTTATTTCCCGAGTTCTTGTGTGCATGGTTCAGAGCCATCCAGAAGAAAAAGTAAATAAAGCAGTTGTCTCAGCTTTGATTTAGAGTTAGGGAGGATCCTGGCTTGACAAAGCATGTCGGTCCTTTTTTTTTTCCTCCTTGATTAAAAAAAAAAAAAAAAAATTCTGCATTTACAGACAGCTTTTTGAGCTCCTACTTCTTTTTGCAGAGAAATGTAGTTCAAGGGAGGAAAGAGACGATCAGTCAGGAAAGCTGGTGTGTCCCAGGTGAAGATTTGTATTGAAATGATCAAAGTACTCCAGATTGGCCCTTTTTTAATTGCAGAATTTTAGAGATTATACTTTTCATGTCCATTTCTCCATGACTGCATGAGCCAGAACCCTATCTTTCTTTTCTTTTGAAGGTCTGAAATTCTCATATTTGTATATAACTTTAGGAACTGAGCTTTTGAGAAAAAGTTCAGCAGTCTGGAGGCTGATGATAAAAAAAAAAACCAACAACAACCACCAACAAAAAAAACCCCAAACCAAAACAAAACAAACAAACAAAAAAAACCCACCAAAACCAGGAACCCTGGATCCCTGGATACAAAACTGATGCAGGTAGAATTGTTAGTTGACACCCATGCTGGTTTGCCAAAAAGCTGAAATCCTCTTTTCTGAGTAGCTTCAATTCAGAATGCAACTAGGAGTAAGGGCTGACACACATAGTGCCAGAACACTATAACCTATCTCTGAAGAAAAGGTATTTTTTTTCTGTATGAATGTGAATTATTTTAAATATTGTGGTGATTTAGATAATTTGGAAAGCCAGGAGCCAGAAATCTGAAATAGGCCCAAAGAAGTCGGCTTACAGGAAAACGGTTTGAAATAAGTTTCTCTCTGAAATAAATATGTGCTGTCCTATATAGGCTGTGATTTTGCAAGAGAGAACAAGAAACACGCAAGAAAAATCATTCCCTCTCCTTGCTGGAAATCAGCCTTGGTGGTGGTTTGGTCAAAATTAGCTTATAGGAAAAATGAATTTTATTTAAGAGGGAACTTAAACACTTCATCCCAATTACTTCTAAATTTGAGAACAATTCTTCTGGATCTGCTTTTTTAGGAAGCACCACGAGGTGGCACTCTCTGCATTGCCGAATCGATCCCCCAAAGCCATCTGTTCTGGAAGTCTTTTTCACGAAGCTGAGTTTATAAATAATAATGATACAATCCTGCACTAAAATAGGATACGCATATGTACATGTATATGAATTACATAATTAAAGATTCATTACAGCTAAAAATATCTGTTAAAAGAATGCCATCATGGCAAAGTCAGAAGTCAGAAAAGCCAGAGTTAAGATTTTTTGTGCAATCTGCATCCCACTTCCTTGGGCAGATGATAACAGTCTTCAGTGGTGTGGTCACATAGATTTTTCCACAGGATTCTTGCTGTCTTAAGCATAGATCAGAAGTCTAAATTAGGCCCCCAGTAAAAATAAACAGCCTGTTTGATTTCTGTCTTCTTATTGCTTGTTTGGAACAATGCACACCAGTTGAATTTTGCTCTAAATTTAGACTTTTTTTAAAATATATTTTTTAGTTTTTTATTTTGTGTGTGTGTGTTGTAGGCTACACATCAATATGTTTGTACAGAACTAAGAAGCTTTAACTGGATTTATTCCCGTGTCTATGTTATGTGAAGTGAATGGGCATGTATTTCCCATTTTACAGGTTTGGGAACAAGGCACCAGAATAAAGTTGGATGTATTTGGTACCAATTTGCCATGTTCTTTTAGTCATTTTCATCAGAAAGATTCAGCATATCTGTAAATTACATCCTGTAAATTAGTTCAACCCTGAATCTCGGGGAATTAGATGTAGACAATTAATGACCACCTATGAAAAATTTGTCATGAAGTGTCTGACTTGGTTTCCTGTAGAACATCTAAGGCAGAGCCAGAATCCAATTCTGGACAGCATTTTACTGTTTAATGCAAAGGTTCACAAAACCTTTGTCCCACATTTGTCCTGACCTCATAACAGATGTCAGAGCATCAGTGGCAGATGAGATACAAATACAGCAGATATATTCCTCTCTATGACATCTTCCTAGCACCCAAATACCACAGTGGAGGCTGGAATTTTTTCTGTCTGATACCACTTGAACTTGAGAGCTTCTGATTGCTGTAGTAAGTACAGAACTCTATAGAGCACAGTGGGGAACTAGAGGTGAACTCTGCAGGTGGGGCTGATAGCTAATGAGATCAGAAAATACTGGATTGCACTCCATGATTTCCTAGGAAATTACATCTCTGTCCTGATTCTGATCTTGTATTGCCACGTCCTTTGCAGATTTTCACTGAAGTACTCCTGACTTCCTACAGTACTGCCTCTAGAATTATTTTTTTTAATTAAGCTAGCCCCAGTTTTCTCAGTTTTCACCTTTTCTAAGATTCTGGGCTCACCTCCTCCAAACTCCCTCACTACATTTTTAATGCCCCCTATATTTGGGCTCCCTGTCCCATACTCCAGATTCCCCAGGCTTGACTTTTTTCTTTTACGCAGGCTACAGTTGCCTTGTATTTTTTTAAGTGTAAAAGAAAAAAGGAGGAGTTTTCTTGCCTTTGAGACCTGACATCTCTTAATTTTATTGTTCTAATTTTTTGAAGTAAAGAAGCGGGATTTTTTTTTTTTTCAGTGGCTTTTATAATTTTAAGAAAATACACTTCTGGTCTGGAAAAAACATTAACTTTTTAACACTGAAACTGTAAGGATCACAGTAGTGGAAGTGAGAAAGCTGCCTAAACAAATTTCCCCATGTACTGTTTCAATTTCTGGAAACTTCAATTTTTCAAACTAAAATAATATTAGTTCTGGTAAAGAACTGTTTCAGGATTTAAAAACATTTGCATTGGTGCTGACAGTTGATTTTTTAAATAGTCAGAAATTTGTGACATTTGTGAAATTTTGCCTTCAGCTGCTGCTAAGTTTGTCAGCTGTGTCTGCTTGGACTGAAGTTTTCCATGGTCTTTGTATAATTACGTACACATTTAGATCCACTGTTAAAACTTAGAATAAGTGAAAAAAGTGAATTGCTTCATATAAGATTTTTTCTTCATATTTCAAGTAGATAGCTAAAAAAAATTATAATAACCTATGTTTACTTGCTGTCTTGAAATAAAATTTGGTCATATTTGAGCAAAGCATAAACTGAAAAACTGCAGTTTGTACATGACCGTGAGAGGTGAGTTAGAAATATTTCAGAGTTTCCAGAATCTCTAAGGAAGAAAATGACCATCAGTTCATATAATCTGACTCTCTGCACTACAAGCCAGGATGTGTCATCCGCGTCTTTATAAGTGTGTTCAGATTTTGTTCTATCCCCAACAGGAAAAAAAAAACCCAGTTACAACTTGTAGGAAAAGTCTTGAAAGGACTACTGTTTTTTGGTGGGGTTTTTTGGTGTTTTTTTGGTGGTGATTTGTTTTTGTTTTGGTGTGGGTTTTTTTTTTTTTTTTGGGGGTTTTTTTTTTTTTTTTGGGGGTTTTTTTTTTTTTTTTGTCTTTTAATGCCTGGAAACTCTTATGGTGAGAAATGCTAGGAGACTTCAGGAGACAGCACAGAATACAAGAAAGCTTATAAGCCCCATTTGGTATAACCTAGGGGAATTGGAGGAGTTCTGGGTTCAGCCATGGTGATTGGTGTGATTCCTAGGCATAACCCCAATTACTGACAAATATCTCTTGCAGTGACTGGTTGGGAGTTGTGTAGATATGCTTGCTGCCAGCAGATGCAGTCAAGTAAGATACTGTTGCTAAATTTTGTCTGTCTGTAGCATACTGGAAATATTTATTCCGGTCTTTATCCAGTCGTCAAATTTCACAAAACTAGTGTGAGTTTAAATATCTTCATTCCCTCTGGATTTTAAACCTAGTGAATTTTACCAGCATGTTAAAATGTTATGAAAGGCCCAACAGGTAGTGTGGCTGTTTTCTCTGGAAAACTTTCTAAAAGTGAGGACTGTGCAGTGACTATAATTATGGACAAATCACACTTGACTTGCAGAAAATTAATTTAATTTACTGCCACTTAGAGTTGGATGGTGAGAAACAAAGACAAGAAAATAGAACAGTGTCTGCCACCCTCTTTTATTAGATTTGCTCCTCCAGGCCTCTCCTACTAGACAGAGAAGGGGATTGGAGAATGGTGGCTGAGCTCAAGAATTGATAAATAAAATGTTTATTATGTAACAGCTCGTCTCTGACACTCCTTCCTCCTCACACTTCTGTCCTCCTCCAGTGTGGGTCCTAGCCATGGAATGCAGTCCTTCTTGAAGTGCTCCATCATGGGTGGTCTCCATAGGCTTTCAGGAAAACCTTCTCCAGTGTAGGCTCTCCAGGGTCTGCAGTTCCTTCAGGAAATACCTACAAGAGTACTCCATGAGTTGCAGTCTAGTTGTCTGTACCACTGTGATCTTCTTTGTGGATGATGGAGAATTTCCACTTTGGCACCTGAAATGCCCCCTCCCTCTTTTCAATCCTTGATGTTCATAGGAGTTTGAGTTGTTTTGGTTTTTTTCCCCCTTTTTTTCTTGTGGGTAGCATTATGTCCTTTCTTACATGTTTTCTCCCAGGTACTGCTGTCTTGTGCAAGGGACTCAGCTGTGCCCTGTGGTGGGTGGATTTGAGCCATTTGGAACTGGCCATTTCAGGCATGGGCTATCCCTGGCCTCTCCTCACTAAGGCTGCCCTGCAGCCACCACACAGCCAACACCATGCTCCATAAATCCAATGAGAACTGCAGAAAATTTCATGAGAGAAAAAATAATGGCTTATATGTAGCAGAATTTGAATAGTGGTTGTACAGTGAATGATAGGAAAACACTTCAGTTCTTATTATTTCATTCATTCCTGTTTACAAAGTGGACCAAGGCCCATGTAGAAAAACACCTTGCACATGTGACCAAATAATGAAAACTACCTTAATGAAGAACTATGGAGGGCTAAAATAAGATTGGCTGAAAGGGTTTTCATTCTCATGTTGCCCAACCTGTCTTTATAGCATAATGTTCTATTTCATCTGTCTGTATGGGTTCTGTGTCTGCACTGGTGCCTAGCACACTTAGTGAAACATTTAAATATGCTGTATGAGGAGTCTGACAGTAGTATTTGGTATACTGAATAGCTTGGATATTTTGAGAGGTTAAAGTCTTGTCATGATGTGGTAAATAGCCCCAGTGGTAGGTTGATTACTTAAATAGATGGAGGGCTTTTTACCAGTTGTATTTTGTGTGTTTCCCTCCTGCCATGCTCTTAAACTAAGAGGAATAACATCAGGCACAAGGAGAGAACAAAGGACTAAATATCAGCAATTTTGTGACTGTTGTCACTTCTCTCACTGCTCTGTTTATATTAATCTATGTTTAACAAGTGTTTTCAGGAGATGCACTTGGAAAAGTTGTTTCAGAAGTGTTCGAGTTGTTTGGCAGATGGTCTGCTGCATCAAATAGATCACCCTCAGCTTTTAGGGAGATGCCTGATCCTGTTCACAAACAAAGTCTGTGAAGCACAGGGAAAAGGACAGAGCTTGCTGCCCATGGCCCTTTAGGGGCCTGTCTTTTCTGCCAGGTTTTGGCAGCTGCTAGACTCACACATCTCCACCGAGCCTCTCCTCCAAGATTCTGTACGTCCTTCCTTACGCAAGCTACTGAACAGTGGTTGGATAGGATTTAGTTCTGCTATCAGTCTGGAAACTGGAGTGTGAAGGGCTCTATATAACCTGTTGCTGATCCCCAGTATTCCTCCTTGTTTCTGTCCTTCAGGCACAATGGTTGGTGATCATACCCGCTTGGAGTTCCACAACATCGAGACAGGGATCATGACGGAGAAGCGGTACATCTCCGTCATCCCCTCCAGCTTCATTGGCCATCTGCAGAGCCTCATGTTCAACGGGATGCTCTACATTGACCTGTGCAAGAACGGGGACATTGATTACTGCGAGCTGAAGGCACGCTTTGGGCTCCGCAACATTATAGCTGACCCTGTGACATTCAAGACTAAGAGCAGCTACTTGAGCTTGGCCACCTTGCAGGCTTATACATCCATGCACCTCTTCTTTCAGTTCAAGACCACCTCAGCTGATGGTTTCATCCTCTTTAACAGTGGTGATGGCAATGACTTTATTGCAGTTGAACTAGTCAAGGGGTAAGTGGCTTTCTCTTGTTTTCTACCAGCTTATTTATAAATAAAGTACTTATAGGTGAGCTTAAAACGCTTACATGAAGAGAAGTTCACCTGATAGTCATGTTTTCTCTGCTGAGCTGTAAGACAAAGTGTTTAAATGAAAACACTGAAGCGTGAGACTCCTAATTTTATCACTGACTTCCTTCTGTGGCTGTGGGAGGGACATTTTTATAGTGTGCAACATTAGTATTTTAAGTCGTTGGGACATAGACTAATGTTTTGTCATGTCAACCTCGCAGATTAGCACAGAGGAGGAGATATGCTGAGGGCTCTGTATGTCTCTTCTTCCCCACTCCCTCCCCCCTTTTTTTTTTCCATTGTAATACTTGTTTTTCTGCCATCTCCAGTGAAGGAAAAAGAAAAAGCATATGGGCTGCTGAATTTGTACTTCTGCCGGTGATGCTTGATGAAAAGCGAACTCAGCTTCCTTTTGAGCTGCTGTATTTTTTTCTGAAGACCTATAGCTCATAAAAAAAAAAATTCCTTTGTTAGCTGAACAAATTTTGATCTCTGATTTAATCATGGTAGACATGTTTTCCACAGTTTACTAGTCCTGTTTATTTCAGTTCAATCTCTTTTGTTTTTGGCTTTGCACATACTTCTGTAAGTGGGACATTGAGTAATAAAAAAAGGAACAGTCATGATCTGCTGGTGCTCTGTTGAGAGTAGAATTTTGTTTTCTTTTTTCTTCTTTTTCCTTTTGTGAGTAGAATACTTCTCTTCCATCCTCAGGTGGATTTCTGTGTTTGAACTATATAAATAATTCAGGGTAACATTCCCATGACTTAAGTCTTTGTTAGGGTCTCTATTTTTGCCAAAAGCTTTGCTAATTGTTTTTCAGCTGTTTGAATAAGTCTAGGATCTCATGAGAATTTCAGTACAATATTTCAAGTGAGTTTGCTAATTAACTTCTTATGGGAGTTATTCAAAACTCAGAATTAACTTGGGGAATATATGCCCCAAATAAGCATATCTAGTGTTGCTCCCCAGTACATTTATCAATATTACCAATTTAAAAAATATAATTATATGCACAGACAGTGTTTTTGTGGCTCTGAGAGAACTTTGTGAAAAGGAGGAATGTTTTATCGTTAGAATCTGATTATTTGAAATGTTGTCATCTCAAAGTACTAATCCTTACACTTTGGTGGAAAGGAAACAACTATATTCTTTCAAAGCAGTGGCTAATATTTTGGCTTATTAGAACTTTCTAACCCTGAGATACTTCCCTTCATGACTTTTTAAAGTTAATTTAACAGCTCTGGCTAGAATAAGGTTCAGCAATGCTGGATTTCTTCCAGAATATTAACCAGTTCTTGCTATATTTACAGGTATATACACTATGTGTTTGACCTTGGAAATGGACCTAATGTTATCAAAGGCAACAGTGATCGTCCTCTGAATGACAACCAATGGCACAATGTTGTCATTACCAGAGATAACAGTAACACACACAGCTTAAAAGTGGACACGAAGGTGGTCACTCAGGTTATCAACGGTGCCAAAAATCTGGATCTTAAAGGTAAACTCTACAAGATTAACATATTCCCTCTTTGTTCTTACAGGGCTGAACTATGAACAGGAGAAAGCTTGGAGTAACTGTGCATTACAGAACAGTAAATCTGGACTTTGCACATTTTGGCTTTCAAATTCATTTATCTCTTTTTTGTTTGACAACTTATTGTAGCCAAATAGCTTGTCATATTTTGCTTTTTCAGAAATTGTCATTTTTCAGTTTTTCCTAGTTAAGTAGGAATGAGAACTGGGATTATGTAGAGGATTTTGTGGTGCGTTCTGTGTTTGGTTTTGTTTTTGTTTTGGTTGGTTGTTTAGATTTTGGGTTTGTTTTGTTTTTTTGTAGTAAAGGAAGCAGAAATAACTTCTTGCACAATGTGTTGCTCTCTTTTTAACTTTTTCTGAATGTGTGTTCACTTTGCTTTATTCATGTTTGGTAGCAAGAAAAGTGACTCTAGAAGGTGTGTAACCTCCTCCTCCTTGTATGTTTACCCCTCTCTGCTCTAGGTGATCTCTACATTGCTGGCCTAGCTCAAGGCATGTATAGCAACCTCCCGAAGCTTGTGGCCTCGCGTGATGGATTTCAGGGCTGTCTCGCATCTGTAGACCTGAATGGGCGTCTGCCTGACCTTATCAATGATGCTCTGCACCGCAGTGGGCAGATTGAGCGTGGATGTGAAGGTATGATTGACTGCAGGGAGGTTCCCCTCTCCAGCACTCACCTCACACTTCATTGTTGCACTCTGTGCATCTACTTGTTTACCTTACTGTCCATTTCTTTAGTTTCTTCCATGGCAATATCCTTTATTACACTTTTTTCTACCAAATGCAGCTTATGGATTGATGGTTCCTGTGAGTGGCTTAGCAGCTCTTTTCCTGCTCTATCCCCTGTGAGTTGGTACCTTTAGTAGTGGGAAAAGATGGTACTAGGGGATGGACTACTACTTACTAGTAGTTTTCTCAGAGTAGTTTACTAGCATTACAGTAGACTTAAAATACTTTGGAAGATGTTCTGAGCATTCAGTTTGTTTGTGCTTCAGAGCACCCTTTCTTGGGATCCACAGAAGTAAGTATTTTGAAGAACAAATAGATGCAGGGGAAATAGAAGGTAGAAGGAGCTGAAGGGTAAAGATTGGACCGAAAGAGGAGTTAATTTTTAATGAGGTGAGCCTCCAGTGAAAGCACTGGAGGCATTGTATCTTCTGCCTGGAAAACATTTCTCTTTTGTTGTTTCTCTTTTCCAGCCAGTTTAGAACTAAGTGGGATGAGTTACTTTTTGTAGCATGTAAACAGTAGTGATTTCTTGAAGCTTCTTTAAATAATTTGTTGTTCCTGTAAGCTTCCATTAGTTACAAGAATGTTGACATCATCATCACTGACTGAGTACAGTGCATATGGCTTTAATTCCCAAAGCACTTGGGATATTTATCATTCAGAATGCCAAGGTTTTGCTCTCTGGGTTAAATGACAATCACTGTTATGTCTAGAATCACTCAGTCTGCTGTGTTGGCTACCAGTGATACCTTTTTCTGAAGTTTGTATGTACCTTTGCTAAGACAGCATGTATGTCCCAAACTGATCCTTCAAAAATTTCATACATTGAGGACTCCTTGTTTGTCTTTCTCTATTGTGTCAGGATTACAAGCTACATCATGATGTAGCCCTGCCACTTGCCAAGACTGTTCCTTCTTAGGATTGAGTATCATCTGAGAGATAACTTTGAATACCAAATTGACCATTCAATCAGATCTGATCCCTTGCTTGTGTCTCAGTGTTCTGGTTGTCTGGGAGCTCCTGGGCCCCAACCCTCCTTCCGTGCTCCCACAACAATACTCTGTTTTGTGAGAATTTTGTGTCCTCTCACAGGAGCTCACTCCATGTCAATTCCCATCTCACAGCATTGCTGGGTAGTTGTAGGCTGTTTTTGTTCTGTCCTCCTCTCTTTTTCTTAATAGTGTCTATTAACCACTTTGTTCCTTGTGGAAATGAGCACAGTGTAGGAGAACTTGTGTCTTTGCCCGTTTGGGGCAGAGCCGACAAAAGAAGTACCCCTTTTCTGTATAGTTGTTTATAAGGTTCAAAGTCTGTTCTATTTGTATTTGATGCACTGAAAGCTCTTTAATATTAGTGATTTTTTGGAGACTCTTTTGTTTAAAATTATTGTAACCCACTGGCTCTTTAGCTGGCATGTGATCTCTACTACTCCTCCTCCAGAGAGCCACCCAATTAGACTATCCTGTTGTTCTGTGTGTGGCTCAGGAACTGAGCCATGAGGCTTGCCTTGAAGAGTGCCCCATTAGAGCTGTGGTGTTTCCTTCTCCTACACCCAGTGTAGTTCCCTGATGTAGTGTTGTATTGCTGAGGTTGTGTAACATCAGTGGTGCTCCCAAAACACATAACATGGCACTGTCTGTGTGCTAGTGTGGTACCAGCACAGCTGCTCCCTGAATGTGGAGATTGCTTTGGTTTCCAGAATGCAAGTACCCCTTCTCTTCTAAAGTCCTTCAAACAGGACTCAGAATTGGAAAGAGACCTAACAAAATGCGTGATAAGGTCAATGATGGCCATCATTCTGCCTTTGGAAGAGTTTGATCTTGGAAAGCTGTGCCCTTGCTACCTTCCCAAATGGTCCCTGTTCAGTACCAAGGAAACTGCTGAAGAGCAAAGTGTTCTTTTTGCCAACATATTTAGGATTAGTAGAAAACCTGAGAATTTGGTTACCATAAAGCTGTTACATTTGTTGTTGGGTTTTTTTTCCCTTAATTTTTGATCTTAACAATCCACAAAGGTTCATCTCAGATCTGTCTTGCTGCCTGCTGGTGACATTTCTTACAATTGCCATTGAAAGTCACACTTATATCCCATTCTCTAAGAAAATAAAACCTCTAAGGTTGTTCAGTCCTTATTTACATCTCCCTAGTTTGTTTCCATCTGAAGTAACTTAGGGTGCAGTCATAATATTTTTAAGGGCAGAAATCCCAAGTAGTTCTTGCTGCCTCATGATGTTTAAATATGTTTTTAACAAACAATTGCAGGCTTTTTGTCTGAATAGTCATGCTGTGTGTTGATTTGCTGGGCATCTCTGTATTTCATCATGAAGGCCAGAGGGACCACATATGTGATGGGAACATAGATGCTTAAAGAAATGTTATTTCATTCCCACATATGAATCTTGTCTTTCAAAAGTCATGTGAGAGATTTCTGCTAATGCTTGTATTTTGTTGAGGCCTTGCTTTCAGAGGCAGAGATTACCATGTGGCAGCTATTTTCTTAGAAACTGTCAGTTTCATCTCAGGACAAAACCAAAGAATATTTAGAAGAAGAAGGCCTTGAGAAAAATAGAACATGAGATGCAGGTCACCAGAGAGCACTGTCCTGGCTAAGACACACCAGTAACACTGCAGAGGCGTGACATGGTTGCATCCTGTTTCTGTTTTCTATCTCTGTTCATGTATTTCAGTACTCTGTTTCATACCACCAATTATGATTCACAAGTTTCAATAGGAAAATAATATGTCTTATTGTCTTGTCTTACCTCCTTTTATTCAATTTGAGCAAGCCATTGAACTTCCTTGACCACATTGTTACTCTTGTGTGCTTAAGCATGATTCAGCCTCCCTGTGCACTAAAGCACACCCTTACCACAGAATTATCTGTGTTCCAGTGATGAGTAAGGCTTCTCCTTGAACAGGAAGCACTTTCAATAATTTGTATTTATAGGACATATTTTTCTTTGGAACCTACCAAAACATATTAGTCATATATATGAGTCACTCATGAAATGCAGGCATCCTTGAGACTGAAATTGTCTGGTGTTTAACAGTGTATAGTAGAGCTAAAACGAGTCAGTTCAGGACTTAAAGCAAGAATTACTTTACCTCCAATGGCCTACTGGTTCTATGGCTGTAATTTCTTTAAATTATATATGGTGGGATTTGTTTAGGCTAGCGCAATTAAACAGCCTCTTCATAGTTTTTGTTAGGCACCATATCAGCTCCCTTTTGCATCGTGTGTGCCGTAGAAGCTTATGGTTTCAGCTTTTGAAGTCAACCATTCAATCACCTGTCTGTTTGACGAGATAATAGCTGCCACACTGACATGTTTTGTGTTTCAATGTATCCTATGGTACCATTGCTTTTGGCAAAGGATTTTGAGGGGGATTATCTGGAAGAAGAGAATCAAACAGTGTCTGAAATGTCATATGAGTTTGTGGAGTTAAAGCTGCATACCACACCTTTTTTTTTTTTTTTTTTTTTTTTTTTTTTTTTTTTTTTTTGTTGGTGGTGGTTTGGTTGATTTTCATTGGTCTTTTGCAATTGCTACATTCTTCATTTTTCAGGACCAGGAGGCAGCTCTTCATGGGTCTTGGCAGTCTGGTCAGATATGTAGTGGCAGCTTGTGTTTCCCTGGAAGGGATGTTGCAAAGCCAGAAACCACCTTGCTGCCTGGTATGTTCAGGTGTGCTACACACAGCTCTGAGGAGAAAAAATCTTGGGGAACATGACATGATACCAATATACTTGTTAATTTTTCACAGTTTCTTCATCTCTTGTGCTCACTGCAGCTTTCATCACTATCTCTGATATAACAAGAGGGCCTTTCCTCTTACCACCACCTCAAAAAAGGCATTGGTGAGCGGGCCTGAGAAAAGCTACCAAAAGTAGGGAAGTGGTTAAGACTTAAATGGTCCTTGTGTCAGTGATGCATCAGGTTATTAAACACACTGAAGAGACAAATGAATTTTTAGAAAGGTCTTCAAATGGGATGGCCTCTTCCAGTGGAAGCTTGAAGGCAGGTCTGCCACCTACTTTTGGCCTTGCTTTCCCCACCCATAAAATTCATCTTCCAGGTGTTGTATTTATGATAAGAGTATGAAATTCATCTATGTCTTGCAAACCACTTTGAAAATGTGGGTGGAGGCTCTTGGACATGAGCAAAGCATTAGAAACTGAAGAAAAGTCTTCTATCAGGACATAGTTGTCTCCATGTCTGTATCTCAACAGCCTATGAAGGGTGGTTGGAAACTTTTTACTCCTGAGTTTGAGCAATATAGACTATTTACATCAAAAATAAACAGTTTGGGAGAGAAGATGTCTGCACTATGGTATATATATGAAGAGTTGGTAGATAGAAGAATTTGTACCAAGTGACCTCATTTCCCTTCTTTAAAGTAAACAATTTAAATTTCAGCTCAGCTTTTTCTCACTTCTTGACTTTTAAAATGAGTTCTTCTTGATGAACTCCTCATCCCTGGTCTTACTACTAGATAAATGGGTCAATTTATTCCATCCATAAAAATGTAGACTGAGTGATTCAGTGGTTTTTTTTTTTTTGTTCTCACTGGTCCATGAAAAAGTTAATCAAATGTCCAATCTTTTGTGTAGTTTGAAGAGGATGCCCTCAATATTGATGAGTACTTTCTGCCTTTGAGGAATTTTTTCATCTCTTTATTAATATGCCACATGTTCTCACATGTTTTCCTTTCTTTTAATTGGACATCCCTATGTTGCTTACCATGGCACTAGAGCTATCTGAAATTCAGCTGCATGTTCTAAATATTTTTACCCCATCCTAACAGAAGTGGCCAAAGAACATTTTATTTCTTCTGTAAGGTAGTTTTCTATGTGCTTTAGAGTTGCTGTTTCTACCTCACCTGTTCCACTAACAGCTTCTCACAAAGG